TGACGCAGTTGGAACAAGGAACCTCTCGATTGCAGCGTGTCTAGAATTCTACTCGTCAGTCCGGCGATTTCGAATACTAAGCGAAAGGGAGCGCGGAGGCGATGGCGCGGAACGCGTGCCGCGGACCAGGTCCGGAAGGTCTCGGCCGGCTATTGACGACAGGGGACTCGGACATAGAATTATAAATACCTTACGGATCCGACAGTTGTGGCACTAGAGTGGGATACCGGTAGTTAGCATACTCGACCGCCAGGCGCGGATTCCGAAAGGGAAGGCATACAGCTCTAGGAATGACGCTTGTTTTGGGTGTATGCGGCTCCGGGTCCATGATGTGATAGAAAACCCACGTCGTCGGATTACAAGTAATAATGATGCCCTCTCAACGACTGCCCTTGGACTACTAGGTCGGGCTGAGATTCCGTACGGCTACAGCTTCCCTTTTGCTTACGGGTTCTTCGAGCCTTTTTGTTTTTGTGAGCCGCGGAATCCGTGGGACTCGCGGGGACGCACGGGCTTGGGTTGGGAGAACCAAGGCAGGGGTAGCTGTTTAGACTCTAATAGGTTAAGCCCGGCCAGTGCAGCTTTGTATGTAAAGAGCGGACATTCCGCTACCTTAGCAGGACAGCACAAGCTTTTCAGAGAGATGTTATGCTTACAGGTCGGAAGCGAGACCGAAAATCAGTGATGATTTGTCAGTTTTCCAGCTACGTCTGGTAGAAACTCGGCGGATGATATCCCAACTCGACCACTGACGCTAAGAAAAGAGGCCAGGGTATGTAGAGTTTTCGTACCGTTGGATCTACGGATACACGTACATTATTATTTTCAGTCCCCTGTTTCAATCTTCGCAAGGCCCCATCATCCAAGATATCAAAGTCGCGTGAAACCCGCAATCCCGACTGAACAATGAACGTCAGTAAGACGGAGTTAATATACCGCCGAAATGTTTTGAAATCGCCGATGATACATCGTAAATCCCGTGTGAGCGCAAACCTCCCTTTGCGGAACGCTTACCTGATGTGGAATACGTCGAATTACCTAAGGTAAGTGTCTCGTACGCTCTATCAATGAGGGGTGGGTTAGGCGGAGTGCATCGAAGTTCAATCTAACCTGTCATCATACGGGCTTTACTGGGAGTTATGTCCGGTCTAGCTGCAACAATCCCTGCAGGTACACCACAAGCAGACTTCGAAGACCAGAGCAAGCCAAGCTTCGAAAAGCACCCCATGCCCCGACATTTGTACGTCTGCAAGTTATACTACGGATAGATCTATCGAGCAAGAACCAAGTACTGTTTCCCCCCTCCCTTGCGAGGATTTTCTTTGTAAAAACTTTGAAGACACGACCATGCAACCAGAGTTGCACCCCTCTCGGCACCACGAGCAAGTCTACGGGCTGGCTTCAGGACAGTTCCGTGGGTTCATACGGTAGTTCGGAAACCGGATCCCGGGGCGCTTATTCGGCATGGGTCACGTAGTCTCTGCACTTACCTATCTCTCCAAAATTGATGAAGACAAAAAGCTTCTTCAAGTAAGAATACGTACTCAGGAAATCCGTCATGTTCGCCGTGCATGTTGAGTTTACGCAATACTGGACACTCGATATGGGTTGCCGTATTCATCAAGGTACTCACTGGCTCTTACCAGCGGCGGCCTCAGCAGCGGCAAACAAGTGGACGAATTCATGTACATGTAGTAAACCCATAGCGGCCTTGAGTCATACCATGTATTCGACTCTTGAATACTTGAAGCTGAGGATGATGACATTGATTTGTTATGGTTCATAATGGAAGACTATGATGTACGAGTTTGGAGCTATGTTTGGAGGCAAACTATAAATAGCTTGGCCGCCTCAAGAATGATCACGAATCGAAGTGTGTTGATTCGGCGTCTTGATGCTAGATCAAAAACAACTTCAGATGTGTGTATCTCAATAACCTTGCAAGCAACTACCATGGTACTGTGTACTTGACCCGAGCCACTGGTAAGTCTGCCTTCGTAGGAGCGACAGGTACTGCATTGACGGTAAGAGATGCTCATGCCACGTGCCGGCACAATGCAAAACACTCCCTTCAAATTTCGTGTAAGCCATCCTCGGGCTAATTACATATAGACGACCAGAACCTCGGCTACACTAGAATAGTCCTTGTCGCTCGTGTAGTGGGCAAATAGGGAACCATGCATCGGAATTATGTTGCTATCAGAGGATAAGATCTCATTCGCCTGGTCAATCTGTAAAGCTTGCATCTGTAGGCAACTGACTATCCACACATGCAGCTGTCACCTATTTAAGTTCACGGTCCGGGGACCCAGAAAACTGTCGCTAGGATCGCATGTGCGTACAACCACGGGGAGATTATTACTGGTTCTGTCCTAGGCCGACGCATCAACGTGGAACAAGGCGGCGCGCTACCAGGCTCCTCAGGGATTGTATGGTCACTTCTTTGCCCGCGGATTGTCGGTCTCGCGATATGGGATTTGTCATTATCATGAGTGGAATACATTTCCTCATTGGGACCTCTCGCCGAGAAAATGAGCGTAGTGTGCAAGGTCATTGGCTTGATGAGTAATGTTTAGAATATCTAAATACCTGTGGGTAGCACAACGTCTATTCTACACTACGAATGACCCGTACATGGCCCATAATCGCCGAGTTCATGACTAGAGAAAGCTAAACGCGATGGCCAAGCCAGCGAAGACAAGGCCAGAGGCCTTGGCAGTGACCGAGACGGCATCATTAGGTGTCTGAGACGGCGAACTGCTACTTTGAGCTGCTGTCGGGGTAGAAGTTGACGACCCTGTCGGGGACGTTGAGGCTGTCGCCGACGCACCGGATCTCGTTGCCGTTGCCGAAGCGCTTCCCGAGGGTCCCGCACTGGAGCCCGACCCATCCCCGTTATCGTTGATGATTGAATCCCAGGACGGGAATGTGGTGCCGGGACACGCGGCGACGCACTCATACGTGTTCTTGTAGACGCTGGGATCCTGGCTCGTCGTGTTCCTCTCGTCAAAGTACTTGTCGTTGCAGTTGCGTGCGCACGCGTACGCTGTGCACGGGATGCGATCCATGTCGCCCAGCGTGGAGCCACCGAGCTCCGTCTTGCCCCATTCTCCCGTTCCGCCCGAGAAGGAAAAGTCGTTGCTGTATTCGAAGCCCGAGGGTCCGTCCTTGGTCGGATCCGAGTTCCACTCCATCGTTGTGATCTTGAAATCGGAGCCGTCAGGGATCGCGTCGGCAGGGATCTTCACCTTCACAGAGGTGACGTCGATCTTTGTCCCGTTGGCCAGGAGGCATACGGGGCCGGTGCCCCATCCCGGTGGGGTGGTTGAGAGGTAGAGGTTGTAGTTGGTGAAACCGGCGTCGAAAGATTTGCTTCCGGATGCGATGTCGTTTTTGATGGTGACTTCGACGTCGGTGTCGGCCTTGACCGTGGTTGGGATGCTAATGCGGTCAAACGCTAAGGCACGCGACGCGCCTACCAGCAAAACGCCCAATGGGCAGAGGAATGTTGATGTGATCATGTTTGAGGCGTCGAGAGACTGGTCGTGGAATTGTAGCGAGCGACTGACGAAGAAACGCCGATTGAACAGAAGATGAGTATTACAAGGAAACTTATGATCTATGAAGACGAGAAGATATTTTTTAGAATAGAACGGCACGCATCAGAACACAATGTTGTTGGCGATGACTGAGAATTTTCCGAAGGATTCATATTTGCCCCTGATCCTCAGCACCAGCAAACGGGAGCCAATGCGGCCGAGATTGGCTCAGTAGACTAGTACTGATCGATGTTAGCGAGCGGCACAGGCTCGTCATTTTAAGCTTGAACAGGCGGCTAAGACGGCAAATTAGATGCTGCTGCCTGGGACAATAGTCAGCCGAGAAATGCGACGATGATTGTGTAGTATGGAAATCTGAAAAGCAAACAGGAAAAGCAAACAAAGTAGAAATTTGGCCAGGAAAATAAGCTTTGCCATGGCGCTTACATCACGCCTGAAAGCTTACCTCAGTGTCTCCCAAGCCTCTCGCGCGTTGACGGGAAGTTCGAGCCTACCTTAGGTCGACAACTCATGAATCACTGCGGACTAATCCTCTTAGTCGACTCTCATCCAGTATCTCGGCTTCTACCAGTCTACCCGTCTCTTTCACTTCGCCATCTGAAAGCTCATACCGAGCAATGGTCGGCACATTGTTGACGTTCCACTTGGTGCGAAACACATTTGTAGGGACCCTCCACCTGGTTTGCCACTAATATTTAGCGGATGATCGCCCCGACAAATTGCAAAGGTCAAGCTTTCAGCTACTCACTCAGGCCGCTGCCCTACTTCGACGAAGGCCATTTCGGGCGCGCTTGAAGGCGAGAAGGCGGCTATGATGTGAGGGAGTGCGGCTCGGACATCTGGGCACCATGACTCTCCCGTATCAGGATGGTCTGACGTGGTGAATGTGATGAAAAAGGGAGCTGTGGAATTCGTTGTATACCGCCCTAGGGCGCTCGCATCCTCCGGAAGCTTGAACTCGGGAATAATCGGCATATCTGCGGAAGATGACCGACACGTTCGATCTAGGCTGTTAATCTGCTAGGGACGTTTTCAAATCCTTAAAATAGTAGCCAGCCTTGGAGAAGTACACTAAGGTTGAAAAGATCATCTAGACAGACTAACAGAGATCAAGCGGACATATAAGTTAAGCTGCACCTACACTAACCAGACTCCCGGGTCCAGGCGACATGACGCGATGCTTATCCACTATTGTGTGTCCGGCCAGGCCCCCCGATTGCCCCCGAAACCGGCCGAATCTGAGCTGCATCCATCGCGCCGGGACTTTCGAAGTTGGACCCGCCGGATACCGGCATGACCGGCAAATGTAGTCGTGTTCTGCCGGCTTTGACGCAATGAAATGAAGCTAGGGAGAACCAGTTTGAGCATGAGTCTCATAGAGTATTCCCAGTATCGATCTTGAAGGTTTTCTAGTGCAGAGTTACCTGCCTTCTTTCAAACCTATGAGCCTAGTGAAGCAACAACGATGCGGAACCCGTTCCCTCTCCAGAATCCGGTCGGTTCGAGGCTACCCCGATAGGTACAATTTGCCTTCAACTTTGGGCTTGAGAAGCATCCACCTCTCAGCAATCTTCGGATATGATCCGAGGCATCCAGGGACTCTCGTCCATCACCCCGCCAAGGATAATGGAAAGCTGGCGTCGCCATGTCCTCGCCCCAGAGAGTTGAGCACCACTCCCATACATGCCCCGCCATATCGTAACAGCCGTACGGTGAGCGCCCCTTTGGGAAGAGACCAACAGCACAGGTCGTATTGAAGCCAGTCTCGTCGCCATTGGCAGCATCTTCCTGCCAATTCGAACCCCAAGGGAAAGTCAATCCTTCAGTGCCCGTCTCATCATGGCCACCCTTGGCCGCGCGCTCCCATTCTGGCTCTGACGGGAGTCTCACGTACTCACTTGGACTGATCTTTTCCTCCTTTCTCCACCTTTCTGTGAGCCATTGGCAGTAAGCCCTCGCGTCATGCCATGTAAGGTCGGTCGCTGGTGCATTTAATCTCTCCGGGTCCTCGCCATCAGGACTAATCCAGTAGCGGCCGGTATCTCTCACAAAAGCACCATAATCTCTGTTCACGACAGGATAGAGTCCGATGCGAAACCTCTCGAGTGAGATCCTATACAAAGGCTGCGAGTTAGGATGGCTTTCAGAGCCCATCGTGAAGCTTCCTGCGGGAACCTCTACGAGGCCAGTCAGATCTCGTGGGTCGCCATATCGTGACAGTACGCGACCAGCTTTCTCGCGCTCGCCAGCCGACAAGTTTCCCTTCTCGACGACTTGCAGAACCAGTTCTTTGACCTTGCTCTCGACTTCGGCGGATAACGGAATGAGATCAGCCACAAGTAAGGCGGCGCGCTCACATGTGGCGTCAGCTGGTGTGCCTTCGAGGAGCCCGTCGACAAGGGCGGCAGACTTGGGTGAGGAGCTGAGACGCAACAGAAAGCTCCTCAAGACATGCTTTGAAGCATGAGGTTGATCACGGAAGAGTTTGACAGCAACTCGAGGTGCCAGACCAGCTAGGTGCCGTGCAGCTAGCAGCCGTTCCACGGCCAGGCTTTGTGAGGCAGGGTTGAGCTGACTCGAGGTCAATGATGTCTCAGTCGGGCTGACAGTCAGTGACCCGTGTGTTATCAGCTTGTATGCCCTTTCTGCTAGGAGTGCTGCAGCACCTGGCTGCGAGTAGGTGGACGAAAGCCACGCATCTAGTAACTCCTCGGCACAGTTCCCAGAGTGGTTGGCTTGGATCGCAAGAGCGAACAAGGCTGGGTTCGACGCGGCTTCACCCATGCCAGTTGTTATGTGAGTCGACGGTTCAAGGTTCAGATGCAAACGCACTATCTCCCGTCTTTGACACTCTAGCAAAGGAAGCAGATCGTGACGGACGATCTCGGCTGGGATACTCAAACGGTCAAGCATGCCTGCGTCGCCAAGCAAAAGCAGCTTGGTGAAGGTTCGCTCTCGCAGTAGGGGGAGTATTCTTGCCAGAATAAAGATCGACTCGTCTCCTGCATTCTGGAGATCATCGAGGATGATAAGAAGATGCTCATGTCGAGGGTCAGATGCGCTGAGAAGTTTCGGAATCGTGACCTCAGCCAAATGTTCCAGATCTTCGATGGCACTCAATGAAAAATAGCAGGGAAACAGTCTGGCAGTGCCCCAGTACTCTTCCTTGATATCACCAAGGTCGTTGCGAGACAATGGTCGCGTATTGCTGAGTCCAGAGGAAGCTAGGCCGTAGGAGAGGTGCTTGGCGAACGTAGTTTTCCCGCTTCCACTGGGTCCCGTCAAGAGCAAGATGGAGTTGTCGCGGACTAGCTCCAGAACAGAGAAATGAATCGGATTTTCCGGTTCCTCCCCGGCCTTGCCCTTCCGCAGGCCCTGGGCGGCTTTGTCTTCGAAAGTGTATCGCGCGAGTAGTGGGATGTAACCGTTCGATAAATCGAGAGTCGTACCATTTGATAGAACTAGGAGTGGCTCAGCGCCATACCTCTTAGCCGCCGCTTGCAAGTCGTCGATGGATATTGAGGAGCTCATTGCAAACTTGACAGACTAAAGGCATTGATCAAGAAAGTGTCAGGCTGACGGATGAAGCGCAGTCGGCGACATCGGCTGGCTTATGTACCGTGGCGTTACATGAGTGGATCCGAGTCTTCGGGTCCGTTGCGGAGGTTCCGCAGAAGGAGCTTACAGCTGAATGGTTCCAGGAAGGGTGCATCGAAAACTTTGGGCTACTGACTGCAATGGCTTCAAACACGTCTTTGTCGTGAAGAGGATCCAGTGGAAGGATTCACTCTAGCCCTCGACTACATGTATACACAAATGTTACCACAAAGAGACTAAGGCTTTTGAAACTTCCCATTAATCCTGCATAATTTCCTTCTACTCCCCAAATTGCTGCTCATGAGTCGAGTGTGAGCACCCCCGAGTGCCCAATCTGAAGTCCAACTTCACGTTGTGTTGCCCAAATAACATCAGGATGACCTATGTACAACCACGGTGGATTCTGTTGCAATCTATCAAGAGTCTTCGCATATGCTTCAGCTCTATCATCATAGCTGATCTTGTTTCGTGCCTCACAAAACAGTTCTTGCACCTTATCATCGTGATACCCAAGCCACCACGTTGCATGTGACGAACTGGAAATCTTGTCATCCAACACACGAAAGGTGCTGTTTGGTGTTGAGTCAAACAAGGCGAGGCTTCCAATCTCCTTTCTGAGTCCTATTTGTCGGGCATATTCTGGCCGATTGGTCTCAACCTTGATTTCGACCTTGAAGCCAACAGCTTCCAAGGCTGATGCCACAAATTCCGAAATCTTTTGGGCATGCTCTGGCATGTACACTGGAGTTCTCAAGATAAGATCCGTGCTTTTGTCAAAATCTTTGAGAAGATCTCTGGCGCTTTCGGGGTCGTATGGAATCGGTTGCAGTCGTGACTCTGGAAAGCCGAGATGATAGGGGCTGACGATGGTAGCGGATGACTTTGCGAACCCATGGTATACTTCCTTCACCAATGCATCATTGTCCAACGCAAGATTCACAGCTAAGCGTGCGTCTGGTGAAGCAAAGATGCCCTCTGTACAGTTGAGATAGTAGATAGCCGATAAAGTGCTCGTTACTCGGCCCCATCGAAAAGCAGAGTCGAAATCGAGAAGGTTGAGATCATCGACCCGCTCAAGATTGAGAGCAGCATCAACCTCGCCGGCACGTAGAAGTCGAAGTCTTTCAGCAGCATCCGGCTCCATCGTCGCTATGATGGTATGAGGTGAACCATGCCGCATTGGATTCAGTCGTTGTAGAGCGGCTCTACCGGTGCCATCTTTTCGCTCAAACTCGATGACACGGAAAGGACCCGTTCCAAGCACCGGCTTGCCATTCTTGTCGATGCGGGAAGGCCAAAATTCGCAGAATACACCCTCGATATCCGCGAATGGTTCCGCGTTTGTCACTTTAACAGTCCGGTCATCCTCAGCAGAGAACTTGGTTTGAGCAAAATAGCGGCTGTAACTCCAGCGCATGCCGAAATAGTCTCTTGAGTCCAGGAGGCCATTGATGTAGCTGACAATATCCTTAGCCTTGCAAGGCTGGTTATCATGAAAGTAGGCGTCGTCTCGGATGTGAAAGTGCCAGACTCGGGCATCAGGGGAGTGCTCCCATCGGTCAAAAAGCCCGGGCTTAACATGGCCGTGGGGCTGCCATCGGAGGAGGGGTTCGAAGACTAGACTTTTTAGTGCTGTCACACTATTGTCGTCTGTAACTTGAGTCGGAAGTCGGAAATCGACGTTCTCTAAAGATAGTCGAAGAATTTCTGGCGTCATGCTGTGTGAAGTTTGAAGTGCGTTCTCTTATACTGAAGGTGTGATGAATGGTGATAGGGGCCCGAATGGCCAGATTCTCCTTGAACTGATGATATCAGCATTGCTGGGCATGGACTAAGTATCGGAGTAAATAGAACATTCAAGCTGCCCTGCGATCGCGGAGACAGGAGGATACGCCTGGCCGGAGGAGCTGTCAAGTGGATACACGCACAGTCCGGTTGAATTAATGCACTCCGGCTTGCAGCCGGACATGGATTCTGTGCCTTCAATGGACAACAAGTATCAGTCGTCTTACCGTGACATGTACTTTCCACAAAGTATCGGCTCAAAATGTTCCGAACGATCTCCGTGTGCCCTTTTGCAGAGAAATTGACCTTTTGGTCCTAACGCAACAAGATGAACACCATCAGATACGATGTAGTTCTTAGGAAATCTTACTGAACCGAGATGGCGAGTTTATGAAGTGAAAATTTTCTCACTGGATGTATCCAGATTAATCCAAGTTGACTGTTCAATGGCCATATTTAGGTACCTAAAGTTGCCGGGCCAAATGTCATTACCGGCAAAGATGCCGGAAATCAAGCAAGGCGACAGAGCGGAGTGAGATAACGACATGGTGGGGCAGCCAGTCACGACATTGAATTCCTTCTGCTGCAACATCCGAGAACGGCACACCTCCCCTGAGGTACAGTCATTCTTTTCAAAGAGCACCGAGATGAAAACATTATGTCTGCACGTACATGCAGGTTGTTTTGGAGTCGATTTTGGAACAAAACCGGGTCCGAAGGAGTTAGGAGGTGACCTCGCCCACATGGATTGAGATGGCATCATTCACCAGTAGCAAATCAGGCTTGGGTGGTTATCTAGCCCGTGTCAGTAGTACCCTTGGATGAATTCAATGAGGTTAGATTCTTCGGAAAAAATCGTTTCTCTTGGGGAAGCCGGAGTATATATCGATGTGAGGTCGACTGAACAGCTGCGCCAAACCAGACTACTGGGACAAGCCCGCAGACACGGATTTTCTGGGCACCAATCACTGAACGACATGTCGGATATCAAATCCGTTGCCCCCGTGGCAGTGTCAGACACCACTTCGGATCTGGACAAGAATGCCAAAGACACGACCCCAGTAAACGCCGCAGAGGCCATCCCCGAGCAACCTCCTTCCAGGTGGCGGAAGATTGTCGGTCTCGTATGGGACTCTGTTGATGGAGATCCAGAGTATCGAAAATACGTTCAAAGGCTCGATACTTTCTTCTTGTGAGTCTCCTCTCCTGCTCTTTGTCATATGGCCCAAGTTCCCTGGGACTGACAGATTCCTTGTACGCTCTAGTCCTACGGTTTGCTTCGGGTACTTCATAAAGTATCTTGATCAGACAAACTACAGTAAGTCAATCTCTTTATGTTGTGCAACTGAATATTACTAAGACTATCTCTTAGGCAATGCCTTCATCAGTGGCATGCAGACTGACCTGGGTCTCTACGGAAATGAGCGTAACTGGCTGAACACCTGGTTCAGTTTGGGTATCATGGTCGGCAGTGTTCCGGCTCAGATGTCACAACTCAGTTTCATCCGACCCTCTATTCTAATCCCATCGTGCGAGGTCATCTGGTCGCTGCTTGTTATCGGCATGGGGTTTGCCAAGAATATCAAGACGGTAAGTGCAGGCCGTAGAAGAGGTCGTGGTTCAATGTACTGACCTTCGGTGTAAGATGTACGCGTTGCGTTTCTTCATTGGTCTGTTCGAGGCTTGTGCTTTCCCAGGATACATCGCCATGCTGGGTGGCTGGTACGGCCCAAAAGAGCTCACGAAGCGCCTAGCCATACTTCTACAAGTCGAGTCTATTGCCAGTATGTTCAGCGGTTACTTGCAAGCAGGGCTATACACCAGCATGGATGGTCGTCATGGTATTGCAGGTTGGAGATGGCTGTTCATCATGGACGCGATCATTTCGCTTCCGATTGCTTTCTGGGGCTTCTTCGGATTACCTGACCTGCCTCATAATACGAAAGCGTTTTACTGGTCAGCCGAGGTACGTAATTCCTGCATTCCCCTGTCTAACGTGAATTCATGTAGGAGTGACTCACCCTTTGTAGCATGTCAAATATGGCATCAATAGGATCGAGAAGTTTGGACAGAAGGCTCAACAAAAGTTGACATGGAAGGAGGCCAAGCGTATCTACCTCGGTTGGGAGATCTGGGTATTTGTCGTGCCATACACGTGAGTTCCTTTCTCGAAGAGGCACATCCGTTCCGACTTTTGCTCACATAACTTGGTAGCATGGTCGCGGCGTGTCACACTGCTACCAGCTATTTCAACCTCTGGCTGAAGTCTGCTGGCTACAGTGTTGTAGACGCAAATATCTATCCCACCGGCGGCAGTGCTCTGAACATCGTTGCCACAGTCATCTGGGGTATAATCGCAGACCGAACCGGACAGAACTATACGATGATTGTCATCGTTCAGGCTCTGATGATATTGTCCAATATCTTGCTTTCCGTGTGGTATATCCCCAAGGGGGCGTTGATGTTTGCATACTACCTTTCGTATGCTGGATCCGCAGCCACTCCAGTCCTTATTGTAAGTAACCACCTCACAGAAACCACTTGTGCGACAGTTTCTGACATGAAGTATAGAGCTGGGCCAATAGACTCAACGCGGGTGATCCTAGTCTCAGACAACTGCTCGTGGCCACTGCCAATGTCGTCTCCTATGCTTGGGTTCTTTGGGTACCATGTGAGTTGAAGCTGGAACATGCCACGCGAGTCTCTTATGCTAATCAAGTCACAGTGGTTCTATTTCCCACCTATGATGCGCCAAAGTACAAGTACGGCTATCAAATTCTCATACTTTTCGGAGGTCTTGCAATCATTAGCGTCACACTCATGTGGTACATGTACAGGCGAAGAGAGTAAGTTTTTCTCAGTCCCGCGATGGTCTCTGAAAATTTCTGTGTGCTAAAGAAACTCAACAGTCAGAAGCACGCTCGACAAGAGAACCAAGGCACTGAAGGCGGCTCAGAGAGACCAGATGAACTATAGCTTGACGGGTTCTATTGGGATCACATAGCTTTGGCATGATTACCGCGGGGTTCACACTGTGAAGGGGATGTTGGGGATGTTGCGTTGAACTGCCCGAGATAATTTCTCACAGTAGTTTCTATCGACATAGGATAGCCTCAAAGCAGAAGCCGATCGCACTGGTTGGACATAGGTAAGCCGCAATAATCGGACCTCACGTGTTCTCTCATATCGAGACCCTTCTGGAATGCCTTTATATGACCCTCTGCCGAGTGAGGATGGCTGTTGGCATTCACTCTTTGATGATATTAGCGAAGTCAAGCTGCCGAGGGCTCAGCAGGGGCCTGGGTTGGAGTGCCTGGCTTGCGACCAGAAACAACATATCTAGCAGATTGAAGTCAGTAGTAGCACCCAAAGCAAGTTGAGCTTCCTCAGGCATTCTTGCTCAACGAAAGAACTTACACAGGCCACCAAACATGGATCCTTGGATCACGCATCTCTTTCCTCGCTTGTGAACACAAAACAATGACTTCTTCCTTCGACCAGCCCTTGATGTTAGTCAAGATACCAAGAGCCGCTGTCTCGAGAAAGTAGTCAAGGTTCGCAAGCCCCCATCCGCCAATATCCTTCATCGTTTTGTCTCGCGGCCAGGTGTTGGTTGGCCATTTGTAAATAGTCTCTCGAACATCTTCAAAGCCACGATCGATGAGGAGCTGCTTCCACTTGAGGGGAAGCTTGAGTGTCCGATTGATCTTCTCCATGGCGTCAACCACTTCATCGGCCCATTGTGCCAAGTAGCTGTTCTCAGGTAGAGTATTGTCGTCAGTCCGAGCTTCCATGCAGACATCTTGGGCTTCGAACCAGCCACCGGGTTCAAGTTGGCTATGTGATCAGGCGTTAGAGTATTGCGCAAGTGTGGAGGGATTCAGGAATAATTCACTTATAAATGCTGTCAACCAGCTTGGCTGGGTCCAGAATACTGCCGCTTAGAGTTCTCGAGAAGATGAAGTCGAATTGTTTTGACCATGTCCACGGTTTCTCCAGATCGTCTATCTCGAAAGAGCAATTGGGAGGCATGCTTGAAGATGATCAGTAGGTTGAAAGTTTCAAGACTTCGTGACTTGACTCACAAGTCAGGTTGCACTGGACTGATATCCACCCCAATCACTTCTGACTCGGGATGCTCCTCCGCTGCTCGACCGTCAGTTGGCTAATAGCATCGTACACCTGTATATGACTGACCATATTCCAGAGCCCAGATTCCTGTTCCCGTTCCGAGATCCAGGACTCTGTTGGCCCCGTAAGACTTTGGACATGTACAAAGGCGCCCTCTGAATGTTCTCATGAAGAGCTCGTGCTGTAGATCCAATCGCTCTTGTTCGACCTATTAACCGTCAGCAACCTACATCAGATTCACCCAGACTGCTCACATATACACCATGGCGATCTCAACTTACGTTATCGTGAGGAAAGTAATATTCTACGCATCTATCAGACCAGTCTCTTGGCTACTAGGTATAGGATTTGGAGACTTACTGCCTCGGGAATGAGAGTGGTAAAGACGTCCGTTCTCATCTTCAAAATTGAGAATGGACGAGCGAATGGAAGTGAGAGAGTCGCGGATTGACTAGAACGGGCAACGGTAAGCATAGATAGGTAAAGTCGCGTACCCTCAAATGAGATTCTGTCACGAGTTCTAGAGGTCTGCGTTAATATGTAACAATAACGTACGACATTAATGGCGGAGTCTGTTTCTCCGTCGTCAGCATCCTAAGCATCGCATCGCAAATTAGCAAAGGGTTGCCCGTTCTGCCCGGTTCAGGGCTCGCTATGGATCCCAGGGCATACAATGATACCCGTTGCCGGGTTCGCGTCATCCTCAGGATGCACCTCGGGATGAGTTGGAGAAGCTACGGTCTCGGCCGCCGGAGGTGATCGCGTCTCATCTCCCGAAGTCGCCATCACGAATCCTTCCAAAGTATCAGTCGACGTCGGTGAGGGGGTTGATGAGAAAAATCGTGGGGTTACAGATTAGATCGTCTGAGGTCTAGGTATTTAATGCGCTGAAGGTCAACCCAAACTTCCAAGGGGCAGGGGCCACACGCAAATCCCCCTCCCCCTCTTCAGGACCATACCGGGGACACCGGGCGGTGCAGCAATGTGCATGGATCAGAGGTTGGCAGCTTGTAGACTTCGACGGACCTATCCTAAAGGAATCTCGGGCTGTGGAGAATCTTCAGCGGTTTATCCAACCAGACTTGGAGTTAAGGGGTTGGAGACGATTCAACTCCACTAGCTAGCGATAACTGCCAAGGGACTTGACACGTGCCATCCCTCATGGGGTTCACGAGCAGTGGACGCATCTCCAGGTGATGGACCTCTGAGAGACGCGATAGCAGACCAGGTCCCCAGACATGTCGGTGTAGAGCGTCCCGCGAACCGGGTACTGTCATGCCACTTGAGCTCTGCTTCCCTGCAAAATTGCGCGCAGGATTTCTGGCAAGTCATTAGCGGTGATCGTCGCTGTGAGATATCATGACGCATGATTTGACGCCAGCATCAGCAACGTTACAGACTCAACGTTTCCTCCCCTGGCCTACAAGTAATCCAGATAATGTGCTAAGTCCGTATCGCTGAGCATTGCCCATGTCAACAAGAAAGGAATTCTCCATTCGCCTGTAAGTTGAATCCCAACCCTAAACTTTTGTGATGAAGTACACGCTTCAGGAGGGGAAGACCACGGATAGCACCGTAGTCCTCAGACACTGGGGCCCCCGCCAATGGAAGCTCAATGCTTTTTCGGCACCAACATTCTTGGGTTACAGTACATGCACTTCCATGCGACGGACGCGCGGACTTGATACCCGTTGTGATCTGACAATGGTCTCTGTCCGTCCGCAAAATCCCTTTCCCAATAGTCGGTGTGCCGGGTTTGAGCTGACTTGATTCAATTCCAGTGGAGGCCTTGTCTGCCAGCGAAAGCGGACGCAATGTCAGCCACGGGCGAAGCTTTGTAAATAGCGGCCGGGCCGTGCCGTAAGCCGCTGTAAAGGAGTGATCTGGTGGTATCTGAAACTGTTTTGACTGGGGTTCCAAAAACCTCAGACTTCGAATACCTCAATTGTCAATCACATTGACATAATACATGTATATCAATTTGCGCTCATTCATTGACCCAAAAAAAGAAAAAAAATAGAGAGTATGGTTGCCACGAGAGCAATTGTTCACGTTTTTTGTTAGTGCTTGTGCCCCGAGGGATGGCGAAATCAGCAGTGTTTCATGCGAGTTTGCATGCGCTTGTGATGGATCTAGTCTATTCAAAGCACTGCGCGTGTTTTGGTACCCCCGACTTTCGAGTACATCTCATCTTCAAATGCCTTGATGTACGGCCGGACTCCCTCCTCTGCCGCAGGGAGCATCTGCGTCGCAAAGAAGCCACAAAGCCCAGCTTGGCGATCGATCCACTACCCGAAATCAGAAAAGCGTCTGTTTAAATCACATAGGGGAGAGAAGACTTACCCAGAAAACGTTTGATGCACCACTCCACATCAGAGTTGCGTTCCGCCGATATGGGTGACTGTGTCCATCCACAAGCAGACCACCAAGGCCCCAGTCATACTCGCCCGTCACAGGGAAATGACCAACTGCCCACTCTGGCTCTTCCATTGCCTTTAGCAGGCTGCTCTTAGCCTGTGATGACAGCTGGGGTTTGAACATTTCGGAAGTCGTTGTCGGAGCCAGTAGCTTCCCATCGTCAACCAGCAGCGAGTGCAAGACTCGCATGACATCGGGAGCCGAGCCATAGGATCCTTGTCCACCAAGACAGTCGGTAACTCCATGATTCAACTCCCTTCCTCGATGGAGGACAATCTTCCCTGTATCCCTGTCTCGAGTATTCATTCCCCAAAGTTTTGATCTGACAGACTCCACATTGAACGTGAAACTTGATGCGCCAACCGGGTCCCAGATGTTTTCCCGCATATACTGCTCAAGCGACTTCCCAGACACTTTCTCAATCAGCTTCCCCGTCCAATCTGAGCTGCAACTATAGGCCCAGTCCTCTCCCGGCTCGTAGTTCAAGGGGTACCCGAACCGCTCCTCCACAGTAGACCCGCGGGTTGGTTTGAGGCCGTGGAAGGACTGCCACTCTCGCGTCGCATCGCTGAGGAAATCGTAGCTGTTACCGGCGCTATGCGTGAGAAGGTGGCGCAGAGTGATGGGCTTCTTGCGTTGTACTTCGATAGGCTTGCCGGACTCCGCGAAGCCGGTCAACACGGGCTTCTGTGCAAGTGTCGGGATGTGCTTCGATACATCTCCATCAAGGGTCAAAATACCACGCTCCACGAGCTGCAGGGCGGCGATTGTCGTGAAGAGCTTGGTGACGGAGGCAAGAGTGAGGATATTTTCATCTGACAAAGGTGTTGAGCTTTTCAGATTATCTCCATAGATATGTGAGTATTGAAAACTGCCTGTTCGGTTGTATTAGCAATCGCTGGAGGTGAGGTCAGCTTCGATGTTGGGGGAAGTTGGCTTACCAGACTTGTTCTGAGCATGGAGTATGACGCCGGGGATATCACGATCCCGCACTGCGGTGTCGATTCGCTCTTCAAAAGAAACCATGGCCGAGAACTTGAGCAACACACTTTGTCAACAGGTCTCGATGTGCAAACAAAGTCCTCTCTTGGTGAGAGATAGGGAAGAGTGAAACCTTAAACGGGCTGAAACAATTGGATGGGACTTGGGAGCAGACAAGCAACTTTTCATTAGTCATCCGAGGTTAATGCCGATCCCCCGCCGCTGCCTGACAACATCCCGAGGTAACGCAGACATCGAGGATGACCCGCTGGAGGAGGGCAATAATTCCGCGGAGAAAAAGAAAACATCAAATTTCAAGACCCGGCCTTAATTTCGAAGATTATCAATAACCTCATTTAACGTGAAAAATCGAACATTGTGAACCTTAATCGTTAGGACAGCAGGAATGCGGTCATCTTTAAATATCGCGGGCGCGATCTCGGAGACCAAACTTCGAATGTTACATCAGTGGAAGAACAAGCAACATCTTAAGATGCTTCATGAACTAAATCAAGCTCGAAAGAAATGCTGATTTGAACTACACAATGACGAAGTCTTGGAAGTGTAGGTAACCTTCAAGGCCCTTCACAACATACTCTTCTCCCTCGGCGTCGACTCCGACTTGCTCGGCCTTCAATGTCTCTTTGAGGCTGTCAATCGGTCTCAAAAGCTCGCCATCCATGATGCCGTGCACATAGCAATCGCCAATGATATGGAATTTATCTCCATCGCCCGATTCATCATCATTGGGGACTTTTCGCAAGACAAATGGTGTCCTAAATCCCTCGAGGAGTACCACGTAATCCTCGACCTGAGCATTCCACGGAACAGTGCCCATGTAATGATGGTCCACAGGCTTCGTGTCAAATAACACCCTGCCAGGCTTTTCTTCCAAGATAGCCGCATCTTTTTTAAAATCCTCTTCGTTCTTGTGGTCCCTTGTACCAATCGTCGCAAATCGTCGACCACGTTGAGCTTCTTGAAAAGGGACAGTGAAGGGGACCATGCGTTTCTGAAGGTCTGCCTCGACATCGACGTCGAAGTCAAGCAGCCATTTGAATATCGCCGTCTGGTGCACGCGAATACCTGGCGCGTGCTCATCATCCTCTTCGTTCGGTCCCTGAGCGTAGAAGCGCCGGAAGGCGTCCACGCCTGCGAAAAATTCTTTCGATGTCGATACTAGTTCGGGAGAATTATCGCTGTCCTTTCTGCTCGTAACGAGACTGGAAGCTTCGTCCCTGACTTCCTCTGCATTGTGTCTTGGCCCAATCCTTGTGCCCTGCCACGATCGATCCATCGCCAGGGTCCTCACAACCGCGTCATTGAGACCTTCGTCGGTGTATCGCTCTTTGAGGTCGTCTTGAGTCGTAATAGTCGCGAAGGTGAGGATGAAATTTCGAGAATCTTCATCGTTAAATGGTGGAATCTCTAGATCTGGCGCACCCTCGAAAAGGTTGAATGTATTGTCAGTTTGATTGTGAATGTAATATTTCCACGATGGCCCCACGAAGTTGACTCGATCCAGGATCATCCCTCGCACAGCGAGTTTCGGAGCATCATCCAAGGCTGATAGTGATATCTTGAGAGACGTGTTGGGCATACAGTGATAGAGCTGGGTGGATAAAGTAGAGCGAGACTGAATCGTCCAATCAGGCACCCAGGAGGGAAGGTCTGAGATGCCTTGATTGATGCCGGCGTGGTGTAGGAGGTCAACAGCGTGACCAGCTTCGATCATAACTCTCGCAACCTCAGTGAAGACTTTGTCTGGGGTATTGTGGGAGGAGTAGTCGGGAATGATAGACTGAGCGACAGGGTCGTCAGTGAGTCCGAGAAGGCCATAAACCTTGTCTCTAGCATCAGTCGCCAGGTTGTTCCTCGTCAAACAAAGCAATTCCAGGAGATTGAGAGGAGAATTTCCTTCCACAGCCTCATCCACCACAGTTTCTGTATCGGCAATCGCTGGTGATGTCCTAAATCCCTGTCCGCGGTCTCGTAGCAACTTGAAGGAGCTTACGGGACTTAGATGCATAACCATACTGAAGACTTCAGCATACATGCCGATTCGAAGTGGCCTTGGAAGGCCATGAAGTCTCGCAAGATCCCAGAAGTCCGTGATTGCTTCCAGGCTAATAGCTGCTGTTCCATAGAGCACGACTACCTTTGGTGCCAGAATGACCTCCTGCAGGATCCATGTGCGGAAGTACCAGTCGGTCACCCAGAAACGAACTAACTTGTTCCACGTCTCCCGGCCCTCTTCCGTTTCCGTATCTGGAAGACCGACTTTGTCCCACTCTATGTCTGACATGATGTTGTCTCGGCGTTGGTCTTCCCAGATATGAGTCATGAATGTCATAATGCTGATGGCACCTTGAACGCTTTCGGGGCTGTAGGCATCGTCTACAGGCTCTAGTGCAAAGTCCGATAGCCCATATGGTTTCTCAGTTTCTGGAGTGGCTTCATCTTCGGCTGGATCATCCATACCGAAGCTCATCATATCCTGAACTCCCAGACCTCCCATACGGTCTTCCAACGTGGCTTCCTCCCTGCTGTCATCGTCCTCAGGCTTGCGGCGCTCGTATTGGTAGTGACCAGGATGGGCAAGAACCAGCTTTGCCCCCTTATAGATATTGCCCATCAGCAGAACCTGTTGACTCCGTTCGACAATGTCGTCTTGGTTGATGCAAATACCATCGGCCCAGAACCACGTGGTAGGGTGTCTGTTAAGGCAAGTTCGCAACGCATGATAAAGATTCTGCGTCACGGAGATCATCTTCCCGTTGCAATTCACCGCAAGGAATCGCTCGGGATCTCCCCAAACATACGAGAGACAGAAATAAGGGGGAGCATCATCAAGGTAAAAGGTTTCGACCTGCAATTCGCGTATGACGCCATCCTCGTCAGGGGCACCCAGTTTTAGGAGCCGAATTTGTCGAAGCTCGGGGTCTAACGGCTCATAATTAAAGGGTATGTCTGTGTCGTCGAACATGACGTCCGGTCTGTTCAACTCTGCACTGGGGTCGTGCATCTTCTCATCTCCCGGTGCCTGGGTATTGTCTAGTTTTCCGGCATATGCGTACGTGACATTCGGATCGTCGGTTCTCTTGAACGGCGATGAACTAAGTGATGCGGTGGCGGGATCGAGGCCGTTTTTACGAGCTAGATACAGTCGCAATGCTTCCGATGAACCAGCCGCTAGCTGGTCAATAGCGATTTGCAGCTCATAGCCGTCAGGGTCGTTGTACACATCGTCCGTTGGAGATTGAGGACGTGACATGTTGAGAAGTCGTTTGGTGTTTGCCTGTCGAAAGTAGACCGATTGGACACTCTTTGTTGATATGAGTCGGAAGATTTAGTTTTGCAGAAAATTGGATTTCTACTTTAATGTTGCAAGTTCGACTAGGCAACAGCCCAGCACGGTTGTGGAGGGTTAGTCGCTTGTAGCGAATGTGCTGTCGACAAATCATCCTCTGACGCGCTTCGGCAGCCCTTGCCGAGGGAATCACCTGATATAAGCACAGTTGTAAGAATTGACCTGAGCCTCTTCGTGACAAGTTGGATCCGGAAAAGAAGTTGTTGTGGGACAAGCCATAGCCTGGGCGTTTTGGCGATGAAATCATGCGATGAAAGTACTTCGTGCTAGGCGTTGCCTGGCGTAGCATGAGCTGGGAACTTTACCTCGGGCAAGAAATGAAATACAGAGTATCACTCGAGAGACTTACACCGAGCGACGGGTCAATAACCAATCGGAAATGGCAACTTGTCGCCAAAAGGTCAAGGTCAATAGTAAAGTACTTTGTTAATTCTGAGAGGTCCAATTCTAGACTCTAATTCAATTACGCTCCCCTCTAGCATCTGTCCTCCATGAGCTTCATGATGGGTGGGCGAATCAATGGATCGGCGAGGTTCTGCTTGTCGCCCTGGAAAAACTATGATTTGGAGTGAAGAGTGTGCCAATGATCTGTGCCCGCGCGCCTCATTAAAGAACTGATAACACTTTTTATTTCACCGTTCGGTCTATCGACAACCCTTCGCCTCATGCTTGGCGACATGGAACGCTTTGCTGGTCACCAAAGTCCGGTCCTCCCGGATAGGCTCCTATAGTACTTCGTAGGACCCTGGCAAAAGTACAGCACAGAGATAGTGTGCAGTACTTGCAGAGCACGCGACTGAATCATGACCAACACAAACGAAGTAGAGAAGACCGCACCTCGCAGCCCACCGTGTTAACGACATCACGGGCCAAGACTACAGCTTTTATAGTGCTTGGCTCTTGGCGGGCCCGAACTTCCCCTCACCTCCACCGTCGACCTTCCCGATCCGACCTTCGGTTCGTGCGTCTGCCCCAACTGACGGCGGCCGATTGGGCGCCGAAGTCTCGGCGGTCCGGGATGGGCATGCAAACTATCGTGTTTTTTTGCTGCTTTGCGGTGGCACTCTGGTTGTGCCGCGCCAGACCGCAACACTAACACATGGGAAAGCAGGTCTATGGCGGAGCTGATGTTGTGCAAATAAAAGGGAGGTCTCGCCAGCCTGAGCTGTTTAATTCTGTTTCTAGCGGTTTAGCCTGAGCTGTACCTAGATCCGACTCACTGCAGCTATGAAGTTCTCCAAGTCGACTGCGACTTTACTGTCGCTGGTCACTAGCACCGCGGCAACGAACACGACATGTCGGCCCAAGATTGACTCGGAAAAACTCCAAGCTGGTCTCACCACTGAGAAGTAAGAACCAATTATCCCTCTCAACAGTCTTGAGGGGTCAATTGGCGCAATTGGCTGACAAGTATTGCGAAACAGCTTGATGGCCAACCTGGAAGCTCTCAACGAAATCGCCTTCGCCAACGGCGGAAACCGCGCCTTCGGTCTCCCAGGTTATGCCGCATCGGTCGACTACGTTTGGGATCGCATCTCCGCAATCCCAGCCACGAAGGCATGGAAACAAGACTTTCCTGCCACCTTTGGTCAGGTCACCTCGATCGACTTCAACATTGATGGCGAGTCGATTTACGTCTTTGGCTTGACATACTCTCCCTCCACGAGCGCAGAAGGTATCACGGCAGAAATTGTACTCGGTCCCGATGGCGCCGCCGCCTGCGATGCTGCCAACTACGAGGGTTTAAATGTCCAGGACAAGATCGTACTCGTGCAGAGATTCAGATGCCCTACTGGTGGCACTCTTGCCGGAAGAGTCCGCCCTGCTGCTGCCGCTGGCGCCGCTGCTGTCATTGTCTATCACGACATTACCACCAATGCGACGGCTGGATCCCTCAGTGCTCCCGATCCCGAGGGCTTTGTGCCGGCCGGTTTCATCAATCTCGCGGACGGATTGAAGATCAAGGAGCGCCTGGATGCTGGTGAAACTGTTGAGGCACACTTCCAGCAGACTCAAATCGTTGAGGAGCGTATCACCCAGAACGTCTTCGTTGAGACCGAAGAAGGTGACCCTCACAACGTCATCATGGTAAGTATGAGGCTAAGTAATGTGTACTATTCGAAGCTAAGACGTCTCATAGCTTGGGGCTCACTTGGACAGTGTCCAAGCCGGACCAGGCATCAACGACGACGGTACGTCATCTTCACATAAAAGTAACAAAAAGCGCAATGTCTGACATCTTCACAGGCTCTGGTACCAGCTTGCTTCTCGAGCTCTTCCTGGCCATGACGCAGTACCGAACGAAGAACAAGGTCCGCTTCGCCTGGTGGGGTGCTGAGGAAAACGGCCTCCTGGGATCTAAGTTTTACTGCTCCAACCTGCCCGCGTCCGACGTCGATGACCTTCTTGTTTACCTCAACTTCGACATGGTGGCCAAGGGCTTCTTCGGTGTGGCCGATACTGATGGAAGCACCCACGGAAGCGCCGGTCCCGCCGGATCAGATGTTGTCGAGCACATCTACGAGGCGTACTACCAGAGTCAGGGTTTCGAGGTCACACCAGCCGTCCTGACCAACGGAAGTGATTATGCCTCTTTCTGGCAGATTCTCGGCAAGCCGTTTGGATTCCTGCACACAGGTACCGCAGTCGCTCAGGACCCATGCTATCACCAGGCGTGTGACACGATTGAGAACCCTGACCCCAACACCATTACTGTCAATGCCAGGGTGAGTTCCTCCGTCTATTTGTCGCTCTCCTATTTCCGTAGATAGGTGCAGCAATTTGGAATAAGGTCAGATTGCTAAAAATTACTACAGGCTGCTGCTCACATGCTTACGGTTTTGTCATTGAACGGAACATCACTTATCCCCAAGACCCCGGTCAACGCAACAATGCTCACTCATCTGCAATCGAGAAGCCTTGAGCCCGATATGATCCAGATCGAAGAGTTGGAGGCTCTGGGGGAGAGGCATCTTGGATGTGGACATGATGTTTAAGTCAACCATATTGATGTATATGTACTTACCTTGCAATCAATAAATTCGAGGCTGCAAGGTTTTCATGTACATTAGCCACTCAGATTCCAGCTGGCCAAATTTTCTCAATGAAAACTTTTGTTGATACCGAACGGTCGTTGGAGTGCTCAGAAAAAAGCATATTCCCCTTCGCAGCAACGGTAAATTTGTTGCATTGCAGAGGTTACTTATCTTACTGAAATGTGGCTTGAACATTTGAACACAGATTCTGTCAGAACAGCTTAGAGTGTGAAGCAGATGTATTGGTTAACTCTCTAGTCTGGTATCAGAACACTTATGGCTAGCTTGCGAACGAAACTCCACTCAGAATCCATAGTTCGCATAAGCCGCCGGCCTGTTCTTCTTGAGTTAGAAAACCTTCAATACCGACCAAGTGACATCACTGTGGTAAGCTGTCCAAAATTTCTCCACTTGTGCAACATTGACCAAAGTGCAAGCCGGGCCATGATATAGATGGTGACGTCACCATCAAGTCTAGGACTTTACTCATTATATCTCATTCCACGCGCTTGTCCGTCTCTTGCGCTGAATTGTCTTGAGTACCTCCTTACTCATAAGGTAGGTACCCTATGCTGAGTGATAAGTACGCAACTATCTCCACGCAGGTAACGCCACTCCGCCGTGGGACTTTTGACGCTCGTCTTATGCAATGCGCCGGGCGTAATCGACCCAAATCTGAAATTTGGCTCGGGCATCATACAAAAATGGTGATCATGCACCCGCGCGTGTTTGGCGGACTTCTGATCTAAATATTGTCCAAGATTTCAACACGGCTTTGTAAAGTGCTGAGTAAACCTCGCCTATCCAATTATCTACGCAGCTTAAAGGATACGAGCTGCCCCTTCTGATTGGCTCGGTCCTCTGTGGTCCAATGGAAACCTTCCTTGGCACTAGAGTTGACAGGGGGCTCAGAGACCGCAGCGCAGGGCCAAGAGACGGTCATACTTGATGCCGCCGGGGATTTCCGTCAGCCCTGGAGGGACTTTGCACCTGACATCTAGGCATCCCTTTTCTAGGGTCAAGCATCATTGTGCAAATCCGCTTTCGAGCAATTTTCAGTCAGCTTGCATGACTAGAAGGTCGAGGCCGCCCGTCCGAGAAAACATAGCGTCAGCCGTTGAATGGAAGTTGACCTCTATGTCCAGCGTACTTCTCATAAATACGAGGCTCTCGCCGTAAGCTACGATATTGGAACGACACATCGAAGGCTAGAGGTCAATAGCCTCATCCAATCATGAACAATCTGTCGTTTACCCAAGCCATGCCACGGGGGCATCAAGCTTCAGCTTACGTCGAAGGAGCTCGACAAAGCCGCATCCTCCCGCTGCTCCCGCACCCTAGCACCATTCGACCTACCAATCAAGACCCGGAACTCTCAGTCAACGGCACCGGCGAAGCTTCCCATCCCAGAAGAAAACGTGCTAGTCGTCCCAAGGTGCGATCAGGCTGCATCACCTGCAAGATCCGGCGGGTCAAGTGTGATGAACGCAAACCCACGTGTTTCCGATGTGAGAAAGCTGACGTGGAGTGCGACGGATACACGAAAGAGGACGCGCATTTCAAGAGGAGCGCCGAGCAGCAAAGGCTGGCCGTCGCAGCCCAGGAAGCACAAGCCAGCCGGCAGCTTCTTCCGCGGCCGAACGAGTCGGGTCCGGTCGCCTCCGGTCAAGAAATAGCGGTGCGGGTTCCCGTACCACCACCGCTTTGCCCCTCGACTTTGCGGCTTAACCAGGAAGATGTTCAATATTACGATCTCTTCCGACACCGGCTTGTGCGTGACCTTTGGGGGTCTGGCCATTCTGATGCTTGGTCTAGAATCGTCTTACAGGAGAGCTCTCAAGACCCATGCGTTCAAGAGTCTCTCTTGGCTATCGGTGCTATATCTCAGGCCCAGATGCTTGAAGAGATGTCAAAGGACCAGCTGGATGCCATGCCGTCGACACTCCGTCCCTGGGGTACCAAGATGACGCCATCTGGTGGACTTCTCAACCACCATCATAGATCGGCTTTACTTCACCACGTCAAGGCTGTTTCAATATACAGACAACGAATCCAGGATCCATCCTCAACATCACCACGATCAGTCATAATCATGACTCTATTGCTTGTGGGGTTCGAGTTCATCCAAGGCAACATGAACAACGTCGATACTCTGACTAGCACCGGGATGCGTCTTCTTGAGAACAGAATCTCGCTCACACAGCGTCCACCACGTCATGCACCTGAAAATGGAAATAACTCGACACAGCCTTCACAGTCCGTGGCTACTCAACTACGAAGAGGCATGCGGAACGATGAGATGGAAGATATTGAGCACCTCTTGCCATGCCTCGCCCTCATGAGTGGCTTCACCCACTTTTTTAACTCGCATCGCACTGCAATGCCGATGATGAACGGCACTCCGATTCTCGAGCTACCTGAGCCAGGCGTTACAGTAGTTGCCAAGCTCGAAGTCTTCTGGGGTCAATTCTTTACGCGCGCCGTCGTGCACATTATGCGCTCGCTACACGACCAGCTTCGATACAAGCAGCGCAACATTACACAGGCCGCACTGGAACAAGCTACATTCCTGTCATACATACGAATGTGGGACTCCGTCCTGGAAGTATACCTCAAAGACCCTTCTCTTGAGGATGACGCAAGACGAGCTCTGCGAAAGATACAAATCCATCGGCTCTTGATCCACATCGTCATCAGCTGCGGTCTCGACCGGACTGATATGTGCTACGACGCATTCGAGGCTGACTTTAGGGACCTCTTGAACAGGATCGTGACGTACATGCGTGACCCGGGACCGATCTTAAAGGTCGGCTTTACCTTCGCAGAAGGCCTCACAACTCCGCTCGCCACCATCGTCGCCAAGTGCCGCAATCACGAGCTGAGGATGCAAGCTGTTCACCTCCTCAATACCATGGCATGGAGGGAAAGTGCCTGGGATGGGAAGGCGCTCGTCATTGGCAAGTCTGGCGTAGTGATGTTGGAGGAAAGAGGGATGGATGCAAATGGGTTCATACCGTCTGGGTCGAGGTGGGTTTGGATGTCAGGTAAATGGGATCTCGAGAAGCGTGAGCTTGTCGCCACGTACTTGAGACTGATGCCGAATGAGGACGGCTCGCCGGTCCATGCCCACTTGGAGCTTGACATGGATAACTTGCTGGATACGTGTAGCATGGTGGGATGTCATGGACGTCATGATCCTTTCGAGTGCTATCAAGAGTGACAGATGAGCTTCCGCTTCTAGGTTGTCCTCAGAAATCCTCCCGATGGTAGATGCATTCTGATATGCATATCAGATATTGAAAGGAATAATGTTTATCCTAGAACCAGACGGGCTAAGCCTTGTCATCCATTTACATGTGTTTTATCGGCTGAGAAGGCACACCACCTTGTTCCATCGAGATGGATTCGAGTCTCCTTCCAATCCGATCATGGGCTGACGGTAACCGCTCAAAACATATGGAGTACACGTATTGCTATGGCCTTCCTGTATAGGAATGGTGTCCCAAGCGACCGTTGAGCACGCCATGACCAGCTGCCACTTTGTCTTGGCAACTTGGCGAATGCTTAAACGTGCAGAAGTGAGGGGGCCAAGCCGAGAGGCTCTCAAAGAAGAGCGACTGCATCTCGCGCATGCAGTCTGTAAAGTCGATGTAGGAAGAGAACTATGTGCACGCGCAATGAGTTACACGGATGTTGTCATCGATGAATTGAAGCATTGACTGCTTAGACAAGTTTCCAGAGCTTTTGAGAACTACATGTATCACACACCACCACCCCATGGGAAGGGAACAACTGTAGTTGTTGTAAACGTTGCCCAACGGAGCCCATCCTATAGACAGCAGGCGGAGTGAGCGGTTCCGCCATAGCGCGCCTTCGAGCCGACGAAGTAAGCAGGCGTGTTCATCTCAGGAAGGTGTTGAAACACCCAGAGAGCCTCGGTTCCGCCCCATTTGTTGTCTCGACCCATCTCACTAATTCCAATTGGTAATGGCTAGTTAGGACTTTTGTCATCTCGCAGGCACTGCAGCCCGAGAGATAAGTAATTTGCCTTGTCGTTCAAATCCAAAAACTTCGCATCCTTTCCGCTGTGGACATGGTACAAGCCTTCTCCACGCCGATGGTCGGCATTGAGATGCAATTACGGATACAGAACTGCGTGATGGGATGATTACTCGTGCCACAGAATGTTCAGTGCACTGGGGTTCCCCCAAGTCTCCATTGTAACATCAGAGACCGAACTACCGCAGGGTTCAGTCTAGACCCGGTACATAGCATCGGAATAGGAAGGTCGTCGCAGAACGCGTCAAGTAGATTGCCAACGGCGGTGCTTTTTCTGCGCGCCCAGCCGCCACAAAATGCCGGGTGCCGTGCAACGAGAAATCACCCAACACTTTGTAACCTTCGAAACGATGGTCGATACGGGTGAAGAGAGAAAGAGCTCTGAACGTCGGGTGTCGAGTCTTCCAAAAGTAACAAAAGATCGCGATCCCCGAATAGGAATGTAAATACTAAGGTCCTAATTGGTCTCTTAAATCCGCTTCTTTTACCCCGCAGAGAGTGCCATCCACGGGATATCGATCGACCACATAAGCTTCCCGCCTCCAGCCCTGTCTCAACCCCTGGTGCAATATCTCTATCAAGGCACATATCCGTCGACTTTTCCGTGAGGAATACGAACAGACACAGGCCAGGATTGGTCGGCCAAGTGGATGAGCCGCTTTTGCCCCTGCCACACGCGGGTACTCAGGATTTCGCATACCATGCGGTTCATTTTCAGCAGGACTGCCACGTACTGACCTCATAGTTATCGTCGAAGCGTTTGCCAAAGTGCCAATAAGCGTCGGGGAGCCTTCCACCACACTCACTAAGAGTGTACCTCCTTCCCAAGCTGGCAAGAGGCTCGCCTACCATTGCCATGAGTATATTGAGTCTCCAAGACTGACTGGTTCCAGATGCCTATCTCACCTTAGTCTCGAGCAAAGACAAGGGGCTGCTTACCCGCCGGCGTTCGCCGCCTCCCCGAGTCTCCCGGTCGGATTGAGACTGTATGTAGGTATTATGCTACTTCGATTAGATACCGAGACTAGGAAAAGCTAGTTGCCGCTATGGTTGTTTGATTCAAGCTTGAATTCACGTCCCTAGCGCGGTCTCTGGCGACATGAGTTGTGGAGTGAGCTCCGGATGCGGCGACATGCCAAGAGCTTTAATGGAACGTCCTTCCCCAGATTGCTTCGCATCCAGACAACACTTCGACCGTTTCTCTTCACCTACCGACCCAGCTCAAGCATGGGGACATGCGGCAAGGTCGATCGAGTTGCCATCTTGGCCATCTTGGCTTTCTTGGCATCCCACATCGTCGCTGGGTCCTGCAAATTCGCCCTCGTTCCTTCCTTTGGCTTCCTATCCTCGCCAACCTCCGGTGACCTCGCTGCGTTAGACTCGCTTAGCCCCTCATATCGACGAAAGAGAATGTAGCCACCTTCTTTATCACATTCCCGATCTGTCGCTCTTCCCGGCTTGGCAGACGCCGGAAAGCGCCTGTCAATGATGATGAAGACTATTGGAGTCGGAATCTGGAAGCAAAGCTTATCAGCAAGCAATGGTTGAGTGAAGTATGACACTTGCCTAGCAGTTGGATATGGCTTCATTCGAGTATATATACTCCACGTGAGAACCTTGATGGCCAACTTCCTGCTCCTCATCCCTCACCAGCATCGGCAAGATCAACCCAGCATTACCTTCCTCGCCTTCTTTGTCCAACCTTCACCATGAAGTTCCTCACCGGCCTCTCCTGCTTCGCCGCTGTTGCCAGCGCCGTTGTCGTCGACCTCAACAAGCGCGACAGCCCCCTCGATGTCAAGATCGAGTCCACTGGCAACACCGCCATCAAGGCGAGCATCACCAACACCGGTGCCTCTGACCTCAAGGTCCTGAAGGCTGGTTCCATCCTCGACAAACTCGCTGTCGAGAAGGCTGAGGTCTTTGCTGGCTGTAAGTGCCTTCTTATGAGTATTACCATGATCCAATCTTGGCCACTAACGAATCTCCTCAATAGCCGACAAGGTCGAGTTCGACGGTATCCGCCTTCGCCTCGGCACCAACGGCCTTCCCGAGGATGCCTTCCAGGTCATCTCCGCCGGCGAGACCGTCTCTGTTGAGTGGAACTACGGTGAAGTCCACGACCTCAGCGTCGGTGGCAAGGTCGATGTTGCCGCCAAGGGCGCGCTCTCCATCGCCGAGGTCGGCAGCAACGACATCACCAGCACCGCCTCCTTCAGCTCAAACGTCTTGAGCGTCGAGGTTGACGGCGCCGCCGCCTCCAAGGTCCGCCGCGACTTCCGCGAGAACGTCAAGCGCACCGTCGTCCAGTCCGACTGCACCGGCACCCTGCGCACCGCTACCACCACCGCTCTCTCCAACTGCCGTGCCCTCGCTGCCGCCGCTTCCTCCGCCGCCTCTACTGGCGCCGCTGCCAAGATGGTCGAGTACTTCAAGTCCTCTTCCACCGCTACCCGTACCACCGTCGCTGGCGTCTTTGCCAAGGTCGCCACCGAGTGCGGCAGCACCACCTCTGGTGTCTCCAAGCAGTACTGCACCGATATCTACCCTGCTTGCTCTTCCGGTGTCATCGCTTACACTCTTCCCTCTGCTTCTTACATGGTCAACTGTAAGTACCGCTGTCCTGACGATGAGACATGACATGTCGTTTTTGATAACTCATCTGACAAAACTCCTCGTGCCACAGGCCCCTACTTCTTCAACAGCCTTACTGCTCTCTCCAGCACCTGCCACGCTCAGGACCGCGCCACCACTGCCGTAAGTTTTACTCTGGGGGAGAAGTCACCAGTTTCTTCAATGCTGACTCGATCTCTCTAAGCTTCACGAGGTCACCCACTTGACCCAGATCAAGGGTACCACCGACCAGAGCTCCTGCTACGGCTACAGCTGTGTCCAGAGCTTGACCGCTGCCCAGAACCTCAACCACGCCGACACCTACGCCCGTAAGCCTCTTCGGACCTCTGCTTTCGCTTTGCAAGTGCTTTTTCTGACCACTCTCATTTCACAGTTTTCGCCAACGCCATCTACGTCGGCTGCTAAGCGTTCCGCGTCAAGATGGAACAAGTCTTTGGGGGGCGGGGTAGGGACTCGGTCATGTCGACTTTCGGGATCAGATAATAGCTGCGCCGGAGCATGTTGGATGGCAGAATACCTAAGTTGTTTGTGATCTCGCTCCGAGGGTCACAACTTAACATTCTCATACATATTCATAACGTAGAAATGGTTGAGCAAGAGTGTTTGGAGTGTTCCCGCCGTGATCTGCGTACCAAACGACCCATATTATCCCGAACCTGGTGTGCCAAAAATGGCAAAAACGAAATCTCAACGAGCTAATGGACTCTAACCATCTTAACTCCCCGAGGTGGGCTCGAACCACCAACCTCCAGATTAACAGTCTGACGCGCTAGCCAATTGTGCCATCGGGGATATTGAGATGCTCCTCGATGATGTCGGCGGCCTTGCGGTTTGATTATGATTCTAAGCCTCGAGTGGTGGGTTGCGTGTGGGACATTTTTGCCCTACGAGCAGAAGCGAGCGTCTTTCGACCCAATGACAGCGACACAGGAGCACCGCGTCCCACACTTGGCAGCACCTGCAGAACGTCGCGGCCCACACCTCGGTCGATTTACTGCAATGTCTTGACTAAGAGTTGATTTAGTATGGGGCCCGCGGAAGTTATGAGTTTGTAATTTAAAAGATGATAGTGTAGTTGATCAGCGTTTATGTCACTGAAAAGTTACTAAGTGAGCGCAGTACGCATTCAAGAGTGAATCCCAGCGTTGGGTTGAGTCAGCACAGAAGGGCCGTCCCGTGCGCCGCAGCTATTTCCGTGCAATTTCCAATGGCTCGGACACTGCACTTTGTCGAATTTACTAAGCTCATGACGTTCCGTTGGCATGAGATGCCCTGCGAGACGTGCTGACAAATGACGAAATCACGGTAGCTGCTCGTCTTGGAATAATGTCATGAACCATGTTACTAATCTCCATGATCACTTGGTGAGCCCCTCGGATTATCCGTCGATTCCCGGTATTAAAAGAGAAGTGAGTCCTGTAACTCGTATTACCTGTCCAGATCTTGGCAAGCAGGAAAGACCTCGGGCACAATTCTGAAAGAACGAGGCCAGACTACGCCTAGGTTTATCTCACTTTCGCTTTGGCATTCCAATAACGATAAACAAAACCAACCCTGACCATGACTGAATCTCATAATATCCTTATCACGGGTGCGTCAGGTTACCTCGGGGGGACTTTACTTGCTCGTTGGGCAAGCGCCAGCCTCACGGGCTACGATAAGCTGTTCGCACTCATTCGAACAGATGCTCAACGGGAGCAAGTAAAGCAATATGGGGCCGAGCCTCTGACTTTTTCTCCTCGAGATGAGCAGGCAGTCCGAGATGCAGTGATACAGAATCGGATCACCATTGTCTTTTACTTGATTGATGCCTTCGAATCTGTGGGCCAAGAAAACTTCATCAAGGCTTTGAGCGACGTCAAGTCTCAGACGGGTCTAGACGTTCACTTGCTTCACGTGTGTACACCCCGTCAATGGCCATGCTCTCAATTCAGTAGAAACCGGCTAACACGGAGTTTTGCCTCTCTAGACATCGGGAGCCAAGATCTTTTCGGGTCTTGCAGGTGCCCCCACGGATAGTCCGCTCTTGGACACTGACCCTAGGCTATATGAAATCCAGAAAGCTCAAGAACCCCCCATTTCTTTCATGCGAAAGGTTAGTCAACAGTATGGCACTCGGTTATTGTCAAGCCGTGCTAATTGTACGATCTGCTCAAGCCTGTCGAGACGAATACTCGGGTTATTGACTTGGCACAAGCCAACGCTGTGAAGTCTTATATTTTTGCTCCCTGCATAGTCTGTAAGCCTTGCATCCCATCAAACCACCCTGTCAATCGTTTGCCCTCTGACTTCATGATACAGACGGAAGGGGAGAAGGATTTGGCAATCCTATTTCCATCCAAACCGTCGACATTGTCAAAGCCGCTAGTGCGGCTAGTCAGGTTCACTCAGTCACACCTGGTCGGCCAGTAGGTGATGGGTCTCTCCTCAAAAATGTTGACAAAAGCTTACTCCATCTAAAGACTTGGCCTGTCTGTCACGTCATTGATAACACGTCCCTTTACCTCCAAATTCTGCGCTCAATTTTGAACGGAGAAAACCCAGGATACGGGAAGAACGGCTACTATCTCGCAGCTTCCGGTAGTGTTGCCTGGGATGACCTGTATGAGGCGATGGCCAAGGCACTCAAGGCCCGGAACGTCATTACAGACGAACGTGTCGTTCCCGCGGACGAAACGGCGCTTGGCAAGATGGCTCAAGGGTTGGGCACGGAGAGCTCTCTCGTCCAAATGAGATTGGCTGGAAAGTGAGTAGATCCCAGGTTGGGTAACGTGCATGATCATGGACCAGCAGTGTATTCATCCGAGCTAACGTTGGTTGTTTGCACCTAGGTGTACCTTCACAGCCAAGCACGGTGCACAACTTGGATGGAAACCGCAATTTCCCCCGGAACATATTCTTGAAGCTGCTGATGATGAGGTCGAGCTAATTCTGCAGACGCTCCGTAGCGATGCAAGCTCTGGTGACAAGCCGTGGTATAAGAAACAGTAAGAGAGAGTATTGACCAATGTAGTTGAGACTGTTGCAACTTACAGGTTGCTCGATCAGTAGGAATAGCAAATTGATTTGAACTCAATGCACTGTGCCTCTCCCAGCGTGAAGTAAGGTAGGTCTGGCCCGCTTGAACTGTTCTTCCGCTGCTCGGAACTCGGACTGCGTAATTTTGTGCCGGGCTTCGGCAGGTAAAGATATATATATTCTCGTTAGGCATCCCCAGTGATGCAGGAATCAAGATTGTGAAATTCACGTTCAAATTGCATCCTATATACAGTCCATTTCTCGGTCTTCGGATCCTTCGATACGATGCGAAGCCTACCAAAATACCGCATTCACTTGGAATACCGGTAAAAGTCTAGTCAATGAACACCGACACAGTAAGCAGCTAGCGCCGGAACCCCACTGCCCGCCGTGGATCCTGTCCGGGCGGCCGATTTGTAATGGATGAGATCAGTCCGATGAACCCTTGCCAAGCTCCTTCTTCCTCTCATTCCCCTCATGCTTACTCTTACCCCTCTCACCTGAGTTAACTTACATAGAACCACTTATCCCCGAGCAAACCTTCCTCAAATCCCACTATCGGTCGCAGAGATCACAACGTTGAAGTCGCCATGCCAGAAAAGCTTATCTTGTTCGATATCCCCGATCGGAACGGGACCTGTTGGTCTTTGAATCCTTGGAAGAGTGGGTAACCTCACTCAATCAGGGTACACGCTGGACATTTTGACTGACGTAATTCTGCATACAGCTCGACTGACCCTCAACTACAAGGGCATTGACTACAAGACGGAATGGCTCGAGTATCCCGATATCGAGCCTAGGCTCAAGCCAACCGGCTTGGAAGGTGACCCGGACCAGATCAAGCCTTACACATGCCCCACTGTGCAATTCCCTGATGGCACATACATCATGAACAGCGCCAAGATCATCAAGCGCATTGAAGCAGACTACCCAGAGCCGCCGCTCTACATCGATTCGGAGGTCCTCCAGCCGATGTACGATCTGCTTAGCAAGACCTTTGGAGCTCTCGTTGCTGTCCTTTTACCTAATGTCCCTCGTAAAATGCTTGGCGAGTACAGCGCAGAGTACTTCCATCGAACTCGAGCGGAGATGTTTGGCGTTTCACTGGATGAGCTTGAGAAGACAAAGGGAGGGGATGAAGCCTGGGCGAATGCCAAAGAGCCACTAGAGGGCCTCGCGAATCTTCTGAATAAGACGGATGGCCCTTATTTCCTCGGTGACAAGGGTATGCATCCGTTCTCGATTATTGCGTCCTCGATTATTGCGTCAAACTTTTACCGATATGACCGCTAATCACGGACTTAGTGTCTTACACGGACTTCGTGTTCGTTGGATTCTTACACTTTGTCAAGCGAGCTGGCGAGGAACATTATCAACGTGTTGTGCAGCATTCTGAGTCTTTTGACAGGATTTACAAGGCTTGCGAGAAGTGGTTGGAGCGCAATGATCATTGATCGAGATCGAAGAAGTTTACTCGTGCAGTAATCACAGGGCTGAAGTTGAATATGACTTTGGACGATGTCATTTCTACCTAGAATCAATGAAATTTATCTATCGTACCGTTCTATATGCATATTGTGTTGCCGGAAACGAACATACAAACGAATGAGAAATGCATCAAGTGTGAGCTACTGAGGTATCTACTCTTGAGACTTCATCGTCTTTCCAGCATGATATTGGCTTCGTCAGGCCAGGTATAACTTTTGACGCGGCCAACATCTCGAACCAACCTCCCAGGGTGGATCCAAAGATACAACGCCATAATCGTGACCATGGGGACGGCATCAAAGAGGTAAAGAAAGATCTCATGGCTCATGAGGTACCCATTCTCGCCTTGGAAATACTCAATGCCCCTGAACAAACTTCTCAGTAACATGAGAGAGGCGATTCCATACGTCATCTGGTAGTACTTCCTCCACTCGATGCCCGCCTTTGTCGCATTTAGATCGGTTGCCTCGCGTCGAGCACAGGTGTGAGAGTGCCAGCAGGATAGCATGAAAAGGGTGATAACGCCGAGTTGGGCCGCAAGACCGGACATGATGAGGGTCTTGCCCATTCTGATGCCCTCCTCCGTACCAGAGGCCGGCATGACGGCGCCAAAAACTTGAGTGACAAAGCAACCAATGTCGATGAGAACGTAGAAGAAGGCCGTGAGGCGTGGGCTCACGAAAGCGTGGCGTCGGAGGTCGAGAGCGATCATGATGCGGCCGAGACTCATGTATATCGTCGCGGCGAAAAGCGGCGGAGATCCAAGAATTAAGAGGTTCTGTAGGATGAATGGCCCAGCTACAATGGGATTCTCATGAGCCTTTGCACGTCCGTAGTATCCAAATGCTTCTCCTGTTATGCTTGTGTCAGTCACAGCAGGTATGGGATAACATTTCATGGTATGCAGGAAGCCTACCGACGCCACCCAATATGAAAGGTATGAAGTGCCATGCTCTAAGCCAGAACATGTAGCCGATATGAGTAAGCGCACCGAGCGCGAAAATGACGAGAAACGCCCATCCTGCCCCTCCGTTGGGACGGTAATGATAGAATACAATTTGTGTTCCGTTGACAACGGGTCCGAAGGGACCAGGTCCGTCAAGCTCGTTCACCATTGTCTGGAAGCCTTTGATCGTGATGTTAACCTATGTGTAGAGAATCTTGGTCGTTGGACAGCGAGGGAATGGGGCAAATTGCCAAAATGAACACACAGTAAAAAAGACAGACTGATTCGAATACAATGCCACTGCTACGATTACATGCACACTATGGAAAAGCCTGATCGGGATTTTCATCTCTTATAATATTTACAAACCATAGCTCGAGAGTAGACGTGACGATTCAGGGGCGATCCACTGCGGCAGTGCGAAGTGCATACCAATACGATTTTTGAACGCGATTATTCGTATTAAATACGACAGCTAACCGCTAAGTGGGGTCCTTCGCCAGAAACAAGGACAACGGCACCAGAAGTTTTGCAATAGTTCTTCTTCAATAGAGCTGTTGGTCGAAGTTTCATTGGGGTTATTGATGTTTGTGCTTAACTTGTTAGCGAGATGAGACCAACGATCTGAAGTGAGCAACACCTTGCCTTGGGCCCTGCATGTGTCCACTCCCTATGTGGCCGCTATCATATTCACACTATCTGCGAGCAGTGATCCGATTCAACGAAGTCCTTGTTCTGAATCGCACGGGGAATTTGCATCTACCAGGCAACATGTGATTATCCGAATGCCCCTCGGTGTACAAAAACATTGGTAGTCGGCTCAGGCATCGTCATATGAAGCGGGCTGAGTTGATTAAAATTCTTTCTGAATCAAATAATCAAAGTCCTTGGCCAATGTTTAGGTTCGCTGAGAAATGCTCGGAAAGGAAAAACGTACTCCGCAGTCATGTTCTTGGCTTTGTTGTTGCATTCCTGGGGTCGAGCCTCAGCTGTTGGGGGGCTCCGTCTGAAACCAACGTCACAGATCTTCATTTGGCCGTGCACACATCAACCACGAACTCCTCAACTTAGCTGCAGCGGTTCATCACGAGACAGGTCTAACGTCAAGGAGCCGCCCACGATTTCGAATGTCATATCATCGACAAGGTAGTGCAAGCGTACTTTGCGATCTAAGCCGCGATGGCATCTCATGCGCCACTCAGATTCAAAGGGGTAAGGCCTGGTCAAGGGATCAAGCCGGGGACCACCCTTCGGATCCTTGGTGTAGGCGACTCCATCACAGTGGGGTTTCTCAGTGACATAGAGGGAGGCGATGGCAACGGCTACAGACTTAAACTCCGAGAAGATCTGTCAAGTGGGTCAGCTCTGTTCCACGAATCAAGGAATATCACACTGACGAATCCATAAGAGGATAGAGTCGTCTTTGCCGGAACGGAAACCATGCATGGAACGATGCGGGAAGGGTATTATGTACGTTGAATAATGTCACCCTCCAGAATACATGAGCTGACGAGGTGTCCGGATTGCTAGGCAGCGTGGAATGGCATGACTATCAAGTTCATGTCAGATAATATCGGGCCTTCCTTGGCTCAGAGACCTAATATCGTCCTGATCCATGCTGGAACCAACGACATGAACCCGAATCCGGACGTTGCAAGAGAAGGTAGCGAACCTCATGCCACAGCAGACCGTCTAGGCCACTTGATCGACCAGGTCGTGCAAGCCTGCCCAGATGCCACAGTCCTCGTCGCCAAGATCATTGGCTGCTACGACCCAGTCCAGATGAGCAACATCGCTCAGTTCAACGCGGTGATCCATGGCGTTGTTCAAGCCCGACAAAGCGCCGGCAAACACGTTCTTACTGTCGACTTCTCAAGTTTCCCAATGAATGCACTGAGAGATGGTATCCATCCGACCAACCAGGGCTACCGCTTATTCGGCGACTATTGGTACGACTTCATCACTCAGATTCCTAGCGACTGGATTAAGGAACCTGTTGGAGATGACCCGCGTCGATCTGGGGAGTTGCGCCGCGATGCACCCGTCAAAGGACGATCTACCAGCCTGTGTGATCGACTCTTCGGTCTCTTTTTCGGCAGGGAACCGGAAATGGTGTCGAAAGCTTGAAGGCCAGCAGTGGAGGTCGTCGGTACCTTGACCCAATGAAAGACTGGCCGGTCTCCAATTCCGGTAGCTCTCCCGGGCGAGCTTGTATGCAATATCTCAATGAATCCGCCGAGAGCTGGCCGAAAGGCTAGGAGCAGTGGTTCAGTTGGCAATGGGTTGAAGTGCAACATAGCGACAATATCTGCGTAGCACTAAGCTCTGCAAATTTCGTCCATGTAATTTGCGCATGTAAGAATCTAGACTGATCTAGCTGGAAATTCAAGATCGGAAGCTCTCCCGCGTCTGTAATGGAGGCCGTGTTCTCAGCCCGCTATGCGGGAGCCGAAGCAAAGTCTTTGTCCGGTGCTATGTCTCGCTAATCAACAGGTTTTCAGAGACGGTCAAGCGCGGCGCATATCGGTCTCACAAAGATGCGAGCTGCTGTACCCCAGGAGCTCAAAAACGTACGGGATTCGGCCGGTAAATGGGGCAGAAAGGATCGGGACCATCCAACCTGTAAGGTGAGAGCGTGTGAGCGAACCCTTGTCACCGCAGCGGAAGGTCAACACATCCATCCAATCCCCACGCGGGTCGGCGCCGGGGATAAGCGCCGGCATCTTCCCCCAGACTGGCAAAAGACGGTTACACCCTCAACGCCTTTAGGCTAAATTGCTATTGCCGGCTCTGATGATTTGATCGTGCTAGGAGCCTAGAGTTTGTCGTCTCATGGCCATTCTCACGCGGGGTATCGTGCAGGGTATCCAGGCTCGGCGTGTTGTCACATTCGACCGAGAGCTGTTTCATACGACAGGCAATCAAGCTCAATGAGAATATGGCTTTCTTTGCCGAGAGTTCTTGAATTTGCGTTGGTTTGCACTCCCACCGGTGGTAGCATGGGTTACCTGCGTGAAAAACCGCCATGAAGGAACGAGAAAGATCGTCGTATCAGATGCTGCAATGCTCACACCCTGCAGCTGTGCCTCCGGGTTCCCTCACAGAACAATAAAGAGGCGACAATCCCATCGAACCACGGATCCAGCTCCACCACTCCAATTGACTGCAACCTAAGACATTCACTTTTCCCAGCAATAACGTGGACCAAACGGCATCAACCATCCACTGCTCCAAGCCCCAAATCTTTGTGCCTTATCACAGGCAAGAAGGAAAGCATACCGGCGATCATGGGTGGCCACTCATCTGGCAATGCGGCTTACGATGCTGCTCTACAAAGGCGTCAGGCATTGATGGGAGCTAGTGGTGCAAGGGCTCTTGTCAAGAATTGGAAAGTTGCCCGCATCGCCGCCTTCGCCTGCATTGGCGGTGTCTTGTACGGCTATAACCAGGTGAGGAATACTCTGTCAATTGGATTTTGGAATCACAGAAAAGTGGTAAACATGAGTTACTTACCCACGACTAGGGCATGTTCTCCGGTATTCTTGCTATGCCGTCATTCGACAAGCGTGAGATCCCCCTACCCTTTCCTCCTAGATGTAATCGCAATCATTGAGGATTTAATCCAGCTTACGCATGCATTCCGCTTAGATATGGACGGATACACCAAAAATCCAACCCAAAAAGGCTGGCTGACATCAATCCTCGAGCTTGGTGCCTGGGTCGGTGCCATCTTATCAGGCTTCATCGCTGAGGTTTGCTCCCGTAAATACGGTGTGCTCATTGCGACTGGTGTTTTCATGCTGGGTGTTATCGTCCAAATCTCTTCTATTTCTGGTGGCCATGAAGCAATTCTTGGAGGGAGATTCATCACGTAAGCTATCATCTGCCAGTCTTTCTCGTAGCCGGCCGAGCGACACTGACGTGAAGAACAGTGGTATGGGTGTGGGAAGTCTTTCCATGATCGTCCCACTTTACAATTCAGAGTGTGCACCGCCGTAAGTGAAACGAACTAGCGACATTGTTTCTCCTCTGACGTTGGTCACCGAACAGTGAGGTTCGAGGTGCTCTTGTAGCTCTACAGCAGCTAGCCATCACTTTTGGCATCATGATCAGCTTTTGGATTGTAAGCCTCCTGCCCTTTCAAACTCATCATCTCCGTCAAGATATCTGACCATTAGCAGGACTAGTATGCCCCTCACTTACAATGACGTTTTATGTCAATTTTACGAACGATCTGACCGACATGACCTTTCACAGCGGCTGCAACTACATTGGCGGCACCACCGAAGACACACAGTCAGATGCCGCGTGGCTTGTTCCGATCTGCCTGCAGTTAGGCCCCGCTATCATCCTCTTTGTGGGAATGATCTGGATGCCATTCTCCCCGCGTTGGCTCATTCATCACGGTCGGGAGCAGGAAGCCAGGAAGATCCTCGCTGATCTCCGAGACCTCCCTGAGAACCACGAGCTCATCGAGTTAGAGTTCCTCGAGATCAAAGCTCAGTCGCTATTCGAGAAACGAAGCACAGCCGAGCTCTTCCCCCATCTGAAAGAGCAGACTGCTTGGAACATCTTCAAGTTGCAGTTCGTCGCCATCAAGGCTCTCTTCCAGACGAAGGCCATGTTCAAGCGAGTCATCGTCGCGACTGTGACTATGGTGAGTCCGACCACATGCAGAGTCATCGCTTTACACCAGGTGGTGAAGTACCGATTGTTAACAAATTCCAGTTCTTCCAACAATGGACAGGTATCAACGCTGTAAGTTCCACTAATGAGATTTGATCGTAGATAAGACGATTTTAGTTGACGAAACGTCCAGGTCCTCTACTATGCTCCTCAGATCTTTAGCCAACTTGGCCTGAGTCAAACAACCACCAGCTTGCTCGCCACCGGTGTCGTTGGTGTGGTTATGTTCATTGCAACCATTCCTGCCGTGCTATGGATTGACCGTGTCGGCCGGAAACCGGTTCTCAGCATTGGTGCAATCGGCATGGGAACCTGCCATCTCATCATTGCTGTCATTCTTGCCAAGAACATCGATAGATTTGATCAACAACCAGCTGCTGGGTACGTTGTCTACCATCAGTTGATATTAGGTTGATAAGTGTACTGACTACCGCATTCTAGTTGGGCCGCGGTGTGTATGGTTTGGCTGTTTGTGGTCCACTTTGGATGTGAGCCGTCCTACACCTTCTGCTGGAAGAGGATACTAATGGACAAATTCTAGACTCTTGGGGTCCTTGTGCATGGATCATCATCGCTGAAGTGTGGCCTCTGAGCACTCGGCCATATGGCGTATCTCTCGGAGCTTCCAGCAACTGGATGTGAGTTTGAAATCACGAGCCAGGGCAGGCAAACCCACCAGCCGCTGACAAAATCTAGGAACAACTTCATTGTTGGACAAGTCACCCCAGATATGCTGACAAGCATCAATTATGGCACATACATCTTGTTCGGCCTATTGACCTACCTTGGCGCCGCATTCATCTGGTTCATAGCCCCGGAGACGAAGCGTCTTTCTTTGGAAGAAATGGTATGTCTACATCACAAGCCATCGTGCTCTTTTCGCCTCGAAATTACCAATCTCTTGGACAGTCATCGACATTAGCTGACCTTGATCGTAGGACCTTGTGTTTGGCTCTGAAGGCACCGCCGCTGCTGATTTTGAGAGGATGGAAGAGATCAACAACGAAATCGGCTTGAGTGCAGTGCTGAACCGCGCCTCGCCTGGTGGAGGATTCTCGAAGTCGGATGACTTGGAGAAAAAGGAACTGAACGCTGCTTCGGCCGAGCATCATTGAAAGAATCATGAGCTACCTGGCTGAGGCACTATATATGCACCCAGGTCTACCAACGAAATTAGGAAATTTGGTCTACTCCGATGCGGCCCCATTGTTTCACGCGATTTCAGGTTTGGTGTAGTCTTGGAAGGACGGGAACTGATTGCAGAGTAAAGCCAATCATCCTATGCGGAACTTTCCCACAGATTAAGCAAATCTACATCAATTGCATTCCATAGACCCTCTCGAAAAGAACCCCGCATGACATGCTGTGAATCGGACATACATGTCAGCCTCGAAATCTGCCTTGATGAGACCCGTTCTAGTGGTATGCAGTCAAGGACTAGTGCTTATCCATCTGCACGTTTTCTTGGGGTACGACCTCCCCATCAAAAACAATTGGCTGGCCATGTCCGAACGTCTGCATATTCTGCCTGGATAGCGTCTCACAGCCCTACAACTCGAGAAAGTTTGGCGGCCAGTCGAGTCAACGCTAACAGGCAACAGCCGGCTTGAGGTGACACGGAGATGGCCTGTGGAGGTTTTGGTCTATTTTATCTTTGCCCATCTCGGTACTTTCAGCGAGTTAACTATGTCCTCGTTGACACTCGTCATTTTCAGTGTGTCTACTCCCCAGATACCGAGACGTCAAACCTTCTTTGAACCCATTGCAGCATCATTCGCCGAGTCAGGATGTCTGCCGAGTCTATTATCAACGAGGCGCTGAAGGGCGATGAGGACTTCTCGGTCATCGAACGCTTAGCTGATGCCATTCGCATCGAGGAAGACGTCAAAATCAGCCAGGAGGACCGCAAGGAGATCATTCAGGATCTCTACGAAGGCCCGAAGAAGTGCCAATGTTGCATCAACTGGATGGACGAATGTCCCCACGGCGTTGATCTAACGGAAGTCGATAAAGACGATGAGGATGAAAGCGGCAGCCCCCTGGTCATCCGGCGTCGAGTAAATGCCGGCCGTACTGGCACGATCATTTCCATTCACTCGATCGAGATTCGACATGCGGCCACTCGAAAAGTTTTGATCGACGTCTTCCAGCCTTACGACAACATCGTGCAACGAGTGAAATATCTCACATTCTTGGCACCCTTCCACCAGTTCTTCTGGCGCTGGGAGCGCTTCGAGAAAGCTGTCGCAGAGGAGAAGGACGAAACCGTGAAGAAGATCTTGGCCATTCTGAGGGGATTAGTCAAGCGTGAACTAGCAGGAGCATTTGCAGTCAACAAGGAACTCGTCAGCCACGGAGTCATCACATTCAACTACCTCTGGATCTTGTTCGCGCCTGGGGAGCTGATATACTCGGCTGACGATAGTCACGATCGCTTCTACATCCTTCGGTCATGCTCCTCGAGAGACATTGCGATCGACCTGAGTCTCTCCTACATTGCCTGGGGATTCCCAGCCATGCAGTTCGGTACAGTCCACGAGGACATCCCCATTGACAATTTCCTAGGGACCCGCTCAATCGATAGCCTGCCTGCTTTTCCCGCCAAGTATCTCCGCGACTTCTCAGGAATGCAAACAAAGCTGGTAGAGAGGGGCCGCAAGTACGCGAGCTTGGCTGGTACTCATTACAAGGCATATCATCCAGCAGGGCAGGATCCTAAATCAGAACTTCGTGTGATGATCGATCCCAGTCACAGAAGAATATATCTCTCAGCCTTCGTCGACGATGGACGCAAAGAGAGACTTCAGCCGCTTTTCAGCCAGTACACCGACCTCATTAATCAGTCGCCGGTGGACTCTCCTCCTCCGAATGGCATACATATCCCTCTGGAAGAGTACATTGATGAGTGGGACGAGAGACCGAGAGGTGGTCGTCGACCGATGCGTCCCCCCGCGCCTCGACGGGTGTCCCCGTACTATCCACCTGTCGTGCCCAGACGAAGATCTCCGGTTGTGATCGAGACTGTCCGAAGGCGCCGGAGCATCTCTCCGGAATTCAGTAAGCAAATACTCCACGAACACCAATATCATAGCAGTCTAACACAAGGTCCAGGGCTACGCGATGAAGATATTGAAGAGAATTCTAGGAAACACCTAACAGAGTTTCATTTACAGCTCATGGACCCCGAGGTCGATGGATTTGATCTTAAAGAGAAGATTTGGAGTGAGTATCTGATAGAATACTACACTGCTAGACTTTTAATATTTTCTAACTATTCGGAATAGGGAGCTTTGAAGTAGACCGAATTCACGATATCGAATGGAACACCAAGCCCTTCGAGAGTTTGGTGCTGCCTGAAGGATACAAGGATCTCATACTGGCTTTCGTTGAGAGTCAAGTCAAGGACAAGGTTGCGTTCGATGATGTCATCAACGGAAAGGGTAAGTTGCAGAAGACCACTAGTGTTTGATGTGTTGAAGGTACATCGCTAACAGTCTATAGGTGGTGGGCTCGTAGCCTTGCTTGCCGGGGACCCAGGTGTCGGCAAGACTCTCACCGCCGAGTCTGGTACGATTCCATATACGTTCGGAGATCTCTGAAGATCAAACATGTAGCTGACTCTTGAGTTAGTTGCCGAGAAAATCCAGGTTCCCCTATTCAAGATGGAGCTGGGAGATTACCAAGAGGATGACCGCGACAATGACGCTGTCCCAGTACGCTATGATGACCGGAACCGATCCTTGAGTCCCCGTCCCCGAGATCCTGATCGGTCAATGAGCTTCACGACTGCATTTGAACTTGCTGCTCGCTGGGGAGCCGTTCTACTGATTGACGAGTGTGACATGTACTTGGAGAAGCGTAGTGATGCTTCAACCAAACGAAACAGGATGGTATCTCGTAAGTAGCCCTAACATTACGCCTTTTTACTCATCTGACCGAGACCTCTCTGTACAGGCTTCTTGAAAGAACTTGAGTACTACCCGTCTCTCCTCTTCCTGACGACGAACCGCGAGCGGTCCCTTGACCCTGCCATCTACTCCCGTGTCCATCTCAATATCAACTACCCCGCATTGGACGAACCCTCGCGTCTGAAAATTTGGCAGACGTTCCTGGAGAAGAACAACTCAACCATGTCAGAGAGTCAGTTTGGATCTCTGTCAAGGATCAATGTGAATGGCCGGCGCATTCGAAACATTGTGAAGACAGCTGGTATCATGGCAAAGAAAGACGGAAGAGCGGTGAACTTTGATGACGTGAGAAAGGTCATGAAGATCACAGAGGGGATAGATATCGAGGACTCTTAGCGACATTGGTAGTCGAGAGTGTGGTGGATTGCTGTTTATCTCATCCGTCTTCTCAACGGACTGAGAGTTGTCTCCGCAATGAGGTCAAATGATGTATATGTCCCAGAGTCACGAGCTCAAGTTTGGGTAGTGGATGCTCAGTGAAATACGAAGGAGTATGGAATAAAGTCTCAAGTTTGTGCAGGATGAAACAGATAAAGAGCTATGTACAAGAGAATGAACTGTATTTGGGTTCCGTCAACTTTCTAGTGCCCTTGCATCTGGAAATGGTTGTGTCACGAGCGTTGTTGGCACGATCTTCAGGCGAAGTGCGCATCGATGGTCTTCTTCATATCCTGAGCAATCAACTTGTGTCCAGCAGTCGTTGGTTGAATGAAGTTCATCCAGAAGTACTCATTGGCGTGTCCGTCGATCATGCAATCCGTCCACTGAGCCGTCTCGTCTCCGTCACAAAAGAGATTGAGAGGCTTTGGGAACCCGTATGCCTTGGGGTTCGCCAATATTTGGAGCATGAAGCTGAATACGTCATAATAAATGACCTTGTTGCCGAATTGCCCGAGGCTCTTCTGAATGGCCGAGTTTGCCTGCTGGATAACCTGGCCCCAGGTCTTGATGCAGTCGGCACTGGTACCGCAAAGGTACTTGGGTGTGACTGGAGCAAGATGCTTGGGGTAGATATTGGCGACCATGACGTACGGTGCCCCCTTATCGATGAGGTTCTTGACCTGCGTGGTGATCTTGGCTGCCGCATCAGTTGCAAACTGCGCGTTCTTTGGATCGCCCAACCAAAACGCGTCGGTATGCATACTGAGGTCGTTCTCGCCGAACCAGAGGAACTGCAGAGAGGAGCGAATACCTGGGGCGCCACGATCGGTGTAATTGGCAACTTGACCAATCATGTCCGTCGCCCCAGCCTTGGACTTGGTGTAGATGTTGTCAAAGGTCGCCCCAAAATCGCCTCCGCCGCAGCACCCGCCGAATGCATAGTCTGTCAGCGGAACCTGGAGAAGGTCGGAGAGATAGGACACAGCGACCGGGCCGTTAGTCCATGTTCCGAAGCCGTACACATTGGCTGGATCGCCGGTGATGCCGTGCGCAAAAGAGCCGTTGCCATTATCGCTCAGTTCATCGCCGTAGGCTACGAGGTTGTTGAATGGATAAGTTGTGCGACCCGCCAAAGAGGTGTCCTCAATCACACGCGCTGCGATGAGAGGGAGAATTGAAGTGATGAATCCCGCGCTATAAAACATTTTTGAGGGTGAATGAGTGTGAACTGGAAAGGAAAGTCAACCGAGATCGAAAGAAGATTGCGAGAATGAAGCTCTGAAGAATATGCGTTCGATCGAGCCAAACAAGGTGCAGAAGGCCGAATACATTAAATAGCAGCTGGGAAAGAGCAGGCATGCTCATGAAGGTCAAACAATAGTAGCTGTGTTCCTTGAGGATTTTACGGACTTACAACCTAATTTCATTTCTAGGTCTGTGGCGGCGATGGCGTTGATCAGTGTCGCACTAATTTGGCTGATCGCATTGACTACGGCACTCCTTCAAGGAGTGAGATGCCCATACCATTTCTTCTGCGTATCACTACGTCACAGAGGTGAGGTGATCTAGGCCAGACGAAGGAAGGAAGCGTAATTTCGATGCCTAAAACTTCTCAGTATACCTTCCATACCTTACGAGTACAGCTTTACTCAACAGTTCTACGAGGTTTTTGTAATTGCCAACAACTTTTGAAACGACCCAAACTCCATGCTGGCTACCTAGAAAGGTTGTAAGTTCCGAGAAACAGTCTGCAATTCCCACGATCC